GAGTATATAGGTTGTGCACTGTACGGTGCGCGATGTGCGTGGCGCAACATATGTTAATGTGTGACTGCGACGGGGCGGCGACGGGGCGACGACGGCGACAACGTAGCCGCCAGACCGCCACACAGGCCTTAACAGCGGGCTACGACGAAGCGGCGACGGGGCGGCGACGCCGACAACAGAGCCGCCTGACTGCCAATACCCGGCCGACGGACGGCGACGAGGCGGCGACGGGGCGGCGACGGCGACAACATAGCCGCCAGACCGCCACACATGCCCAGATGACTGCCGGCGACGGTGCGGCGACGGTGCGGTGATGACGACAAGATATCAGCCAGACCGCCACGCAGGCCCAGCCGACGCGGGGCGACGAGGCGGCGACGAGGCGGCGGCGTCGAACGCATAACCGCCAAACCGCCACATAGGCCCAGTTCCTTAGAAATTAATTTACAAATCCTAAGTGCAAGCACTGTTTGGGGACAGTGCTCAGAACCCATAAGTGCAATCAAGGTTTTGGGAATACATTCACATCTGCCCTGGATCTCCTGTGTTGTCGTGCCTGTGTTTTCAATCCGCTGCGCTTCGCGTATCCTTCATTCTCCTCCTCACCCCTCCTCCATTTCCTGCCGCTGCTGCTCTGCCGTCGCTGCTGCTGCTGTCGCCAGCCGCTGCAGCTTCTGCGGATGGTGCTGCTGATGCTGCGCCGCCGACCGCTGCAGCTGCTGCTCCTGCGTTGTCAGCCTCCGCTGTTGTTGCTGCGCGTGCTGCGCGGGAGCCCGTTTCGGCATACCGCTCACGCGAATCGCGCCCCAACGCCCTGAGGGAATGCCGCTATTGCCCCAGTGAGGTCGTGCGCAAAGCGTCACCCCGCCCGTGTCGGCATATCCCTCACAGTCCAGCTGCCGCCGCATGGGGGGTTGAACGCGTAGCGTTGCCCTGCGCATTTCGGCACATCTATCATGCGAATGATGTCCCGCGGATGATGCCGTCGTCATCTTCAGGTATGGTGTTTGGTCACACCTCCTTGTTTCGAGTGCTTCGTGTGGCGTTTGGTCACTCCTCTGTGCTTCGAGCGTTTCGAGAGGCGTTTGGTCACCTGGACGCGAGGCTTCTTGCAGGAAGCCCCAACGACCGCCCCAGTGGGGATGTGCGCGCAGCGTCAGTCTCGGCACACCCCTCACGCAGATCGTGTCCCAGATGGCGCTCCGACTGCTGCACCCGTGGGACTGAGCGCTCCGCGTTGCCCCGTCCACTCCGCCACCCCTCCTCCTCGCGCCAATCGTGCCCCACACAGTCTCTCGAACTATTGCCCCAGTGGAGGAGTGTGCGCGTGGCGTCGCCCCGGCCATTTCGGCGCACCCCTCGCATGGATCTTGGCATCCCTCGGACGTGTGTATTTTTTCTTGGCGAAGACTCTCGAGGAACACCTTGGATCATCTTGCGAAACCTAAGCGCAGGACATAGAAGTATGCACGGGGAATGGACGTCCGAGCGGAGGCAAATGATCGCGCCTCGTACAGAGTTCATGGCGCTGTCTCAGCGGGAATGTGCGCCTGGTGTCGCCCCGTTCATATCGGCACACCCCCAGCACGGACCGTGCTCCACTGGGAGCTCCATTTGTGGCCCCAGGGCGATGCGCAGGTTGTCGCCATGTAAATTTCGGATCAAGTCCGGCAGGGAACTCCAACTCCTGCCCCAGTGGGGACGCGCACAGCGTCGGCATTTCGGCACACACCTGACTGGGATCGTGTCTGTTCAGGCAAGTCCAGTTCTGACACCACGGGGGAAGCTTGCACGCAACCCCCGGCTGATCCAGCATACCACTTACACAGATCTTGCCCTCTTGGAGCTCCACCTGCGTCCCCAGTGGGGGAGTTCGCATGCGTCCTCCTGCCCAGTTCGGCACATCCCTCTCACGGATCTTGCTCCACCTGCAGCTTCAACGGAGGCGTTCGCATGGCGACCCCCCCTTCGACGATCCCACCATATGATGGGAGGCCCCCTCACCAATGCTGCATGCAATTGCATAGGGTTAGGTCTTTCGATAGGTTAGAATATCTGTTTGCAGAAGGCCTGAGGATGTGGAACCTCATGCGGACCTTTTTCGTCCTTTTGTGTGGGTGGTGGGTGGGTGGAGTCTTAAGTAATCCGATATGTTATAACATACGGGTTGTAACACTTGTGTTCTCTGTCCAGATCTCGTCAGATCTCTTCGTGTGACACGCAAGGCCATATGTGCGCATCTCAGTGCGTGTTCATGATGCCAGTCTGTGCTATGCGCTGCTGCACGCTCTTTGGGGGAACTTCCTAACTCTGGAGTGGTCCCACAACGTAGGTTGGCTAGTCGACATGCGTATAGGTATGCGGTGCCGCGTGTAAGTTTACTGCATTCGGCGGCAGGGTTGGGAAACAATCAGTCGCAGCCCGAGTAGCATACCCGTGAAAAAGGCGCCCGTGAGAAGCCCCCGCGCCTCTGCAATCGTAACCCCCCGACACGAAAATCGACAGAAACCCGCAACGGTCCAAGCGCCGCAGTTGCCTGGACCCGTCGACCTTTACGGCCCCTGCTGATGGCCACTCCAAGGAGCCTGGCAGCAGCAGCGGGTGGCTCTGCTGCTTGCAAACCGCGGTAAGTGTTTTCCTCATGATTTCCCCAGCGGGCGTGGTGCCGTGATTTTCCAGCCAAGGTCAATGGTGGAGCGGTTCGGGGCACGATCCCCTCAACATCTCGAGTGGGCGGGCCTTGTCCGATCACCGATTTCGGGTTCAGGTGGAGTTCCCCTGGCAACGACTGCCAGTGTGGGTTGCCTTTGCATTCCAGCAGTTGGCCCTGGCCTGCAGAGTGCCAGACGATGTGCCGCCCGAGTTTCCCGCGCCGTGCCCGCGTGCCGTGCCGTGCCTGCGAGCCTCACCCTTGGCATCGCTCGGACGTGTGCATTTTCCCGTGGGCGAGGACCATCGAGGAGCATCCTTGATCATTTGGCGAAAAACCACGCACGAAACCGAAAAAACACACAGGGAATGGACGTCCGAGCGATGGCCAGTCACCGTGCTCTCGTGCAGTGCCGTGCCCGCGTTCCAGGGTGCGAGTGGTGGTCCTGGGGCCTGCCGTGCCGTGCTCGCGCCCACGGGGGCAGCACCGTGCCCGCGTCCCGCGGGGCGGGCCGTCTGCCGTGCCGCTCCGCGCCCGTTCGCTCGAGATGTTGTGGAGGAGCGCGCCGCCCGCGCGCCCGGCCGTGCCCGCGCTCGAGAGTGGGCAAGCTGTGCTGCTCGCATGCCGTGCCATGCCGTGCCGTGCCCGCGCGTCGGGCCGTGCCGTGCCCGCCTGCCAGCGTGCGGGCGCTCTGCCCGCGTGCACGCGCCGCGTCCGTGCTGTGCTCGGCTGCCAGGAGGCCAAGTCGTGTGCGTCCCACGTGCCGTGCCGTGGCGTGTCCGTGCTGTGCGCGTGCCGTGTCGTGCCGTGCCCCGCGTGCCATGCCGTGCACACGAATTATTTCGAGGTTGGCTCACCAGGTGTCTTCTCATGCAGCGGCGCTGCTCGGAGTCTCTATGTCGGTGTGAGTTTCGGTTTCACGTGGAGTCTGGGTGCGGAATGGTACGCGCGCGCTCGACCATTGTTGGATCTGCAGGTGAGCAACAGTTTGTCTTCGAGTCTGCGCTATCACATTCCCACATTGGGCCTAGGCGTGCGAGTCGCCTAATGAAGGCAACTATCTACCAGAGGTTTGTGCGTCCAGTTGTCTTCAATATTAGTGCGTATGATGCGGCACTCACGTTCTCTAATGCAGAGGAGTACCGCAGGGCTGCACAAAAAGCCTAGAGGTTTCCTTCCCACATGGAACAGCACTCTCTGCAGTACTGACGGCAAGACGGATACACTGTTATCATGTCGCTTGCCAACTGCAGAGGGACTCGCATCAACATGAGTTTGCCCAAGCACTACCCCCCCCCTTCCCCTCTGCGCACGAGGTTCATGCACTGACGAGATGGCGGCGCTGACATGTTGGGCGTGGCGGCATGTGTTTCATGCGCGGTTTTGGAGGCTCTTGCGATTGGCTGTTGGGGGGCCTGAGTTCTGTCGCCAATCCTAAGGTCCCCAGGTACTCTGAGCTCCACTGCCAAAGGTCGGGGGCGGAAAAGAGGGGGGTGATGACCAGGGGGGGGTGGATATCATGGCGGGGGCCATGATATTTCCCCAGCTTTCATGGCGCCTCTTCTTGCTTCATTACGTCCCTGGCCCCCCCGCTGGGCCGCGCACATGCCGCCGGTCATGATTTGCACCCCCCCTCTTGGACACCCCCCTTTTGGCCGCTCCCGAAAAGGAACAGTCCACGAGGCCGCAAGCTCGTAACAGCTCTTTGTCCACCTGCGGGCTCTCTGAGAACCTGCTTGGGTTCGTTCCGTGTCCAATCTGGCTCAGGCGAGATTGATTAGCAGGTCGACCCTGGGGTACCCTTGTGTCTTGTGCGTTCGCGCCCTACAGTCGGGGCGTTGACCTAAGGAACCCTAAATAAGGAACGAGGCCACTTTTTTTCCATAAGTTACACTTCGATGTCCAATCGAAAACATAAGGAAAACCTGAGGCAAGCTGTGAAACACTTAAGGAACGCGGAGCCCCTCCCCAACCAACAGGGTTCCTTCTTCAGGGCCCCGACTGTATGCCTTTTGTATTCCTGGAGCAACGCGGCCCGCGGAAGTGCCTTGTGTCCTATCGCGTGTCCCTCGCATAAATCTCGAGGAGTGCAGGGCAGCCAGGAGACGGTGCTCCTGCACGAAGCACGCTCTGCTTCTTGACTGCGGGCCAGCCTCTCGGGAGGCCCGGGGCCAGCTTGGCAGAACAGGACCCGCACGAGCACGAGGCAAACTTCTGCGCCGAGCTCTGCCCGGGGAACGCGCCTCGAGTCTCGAACCCGGATTAGACGCTGCTGGCCGTGCGGTCTTGCTGGGGGGCGGCCCGACCGTGGCGGCCCCCGGCGTGGCCCACCCCCCCTCCCTGGTCCCAGGCCTTCGGGTCGGCGCCGAAGGAGCGGGACCTCGACCTGCTAGACCGCAGCAGCCTCGGCGGCGGTGTGCCACGGGACCCCTGGGGGCTGCGGATGGTCGGGCGCGCGGCGACAGGGGGTGACCCAAGGGCGTCCTCGAGGGCGCGAAGTTAGTCGCGCTTCGCGCTTCGCGGTTCGGCTCGGATTCCGCCTCATCCTCCTCTTCTCCCCTGGGAGGCGGCACGAGAGCGCGGAGTTATTGGCACTTCGCGCTCCGCGCAGCGCGAAACGCGAAGTTGGGAGCCCCTGGGTGGCCTGGGTTGGAGGAGTTGGAGGAGGAGGAGGAGGAGGAGGAGGAGGAGGAGGAGGAGGATGAGGAGGAGGGGGAGGAAGGGGAGGAGGAGGAGGAGGGGAGGAGGAGGAGAGGAGGAGGAGGAGGAGGAGGAGGAGGAGAAGGAGGAGGAGGAGGAGGGGGTGGCCTGGGTGGGGGGTGAAGAGACTGGCTTGCGACGGGGTCTGCAGGGCCCTGCCGGCCCCCCTTCACAAGGGGGCCCCTGCGGGACCCCTGCAGGGCCCCGTCCTTCACCGCCCACTCTGAGGTCACCCCGAGTGCCATCCGCCCGAGAAGCGCGGGACGAGATCTCAGGATCGAGCCCCTCCTCCTCCTCCTCCTCCTCCTCCTCCTCCTCCTCCTCCCTTCTCCCCCTCCTCCTCCTCCCCCTCCTCCTCCTCCTCCTCCTCCTCCTTCTCCCCCTCCTCCTCCTCCTCCTCCTCCTCCTCCTCCTCCTCCTCCTCCTCCGGCCGGGCGAAAGGGGGGGATTGGGAAAGGACGGGGTACGAAGTTGGCTGCATGCAGCTGGTTTCAGCTCCACCGAGGGGCCCATTCCTCGAGACATAGCCGCCTCCGGCGCCGGGAGGCGCCGGGAAAATCAGCTACGTGAGCTGGTTCTCAACCCCCCCCTTGCTATCCCCCCCTTTCGCCTGGTCCGGCAGGAGGCGCCGAGCACACGGGGTGCCCTGGCCAGGAGAGCGACAGAGTCGGGATTCGGTGGGGGAGCGGCAGGGTATCATGGGTGGGGCAGAGGCCCAGTCAAAGAAGTTGCCCGCTCGTTGTTAAGCACTCTCCAGTGGCCGATGCCGCGTTGACCTACCGAGTATGATGTGCCCAAGCAGTGAAGTACAAGTTGGGCCATGCAAATACAACACGCGTGTGCGATACAACGTATAAACAGAGGGGTAGAATGGATGAGCAGCAACTCGAGAGAACAATGCGTATTCAGCTGCCTGAGGCACACCCCGCCACCGTGCCAGCGTAGCAGCGCAGCATCGCAGCAGGGACGAGATGACCGCTCTGGCGCCGTCTCGAGGCCGAGAAGGGCGCCTGGGAGCAAAACTCGGGGGGACGAATCTTTTGGTGATGGTCTCCTGGTGCAGTCGGGTTCGATTCGTAGGTCGACCCTGCCACATCGAGGGTAATTACCCTTGCGTCCTGTGTGGTCGCACCCCATGTCCTCTGCATTCCTGGAGCAATTGTGGCCCTCGGAAGGGTCTGGAGACCTCTCGCGTGTCCTCTCCTATAGAGCTCGACTGTACGGAAGCTGGGGCTGGCCTCAAAAACTCAGGCGATCGCAAACATGGATCAAGGGGGCGTGTATTAGCGACGGGTCCCGTTTCCACGGGGAACCGCGGATTTCCGCCGCCGAACGAGACGGCACCGGCCGCATTTTAGGGAGGGCACCTCCCCCGATCCATGTTTGCGCACCCCTGATTATAGAGCTTGACTGTATGGAAGCTGGTGCCGGTTTGAGAAACGTAGTAGAAGCTTTACCAGACAGCTGCCGGGCATTCCGCAGCACGCCCCAGCGTGCCGAGGGCACGGATGCGGACAGTCATTGTAGACCAGCTCTGCGGGCACCCGCAGGCGTGGGTGAGTCGTGGGGGCGCCCAGGCAGGGCAGGGCAAGCAAGCAGCGACCCCACCAGCAAGGGACTGGTTCCATCTCGATCTGACCGATGCGATTCGGCTCCAGATTTCGTAATAAAGGGAGGGGGGTCTCATTTTTTTGGGGGGGTCTCTTCCAGGCTATCTTGGAGGGCCTGGGGGGTCTGGGGACGATGTTTTGGAGGGTTCTCCCACGGGGGAGGTCTGAAATGGCTTGTCTTGGAGGGTCCAGACCCCCTCCCTTTTATAACGAAATCTGGAGTACCCGCTCCAGCAAGCCCGATTCGACTCGATTCAGATTTCCGAGATCCGATGCGGCCCGAGGCTTGCATGCCGCTGTCGTGCACCCCGGCGCAGCCGATCCGATTCCATTCCCATTCAGCGCCGCTTCGGCCCGATTTGCTTCAGGAGGGGAAAAAACACACAGACACAATTAATCGTCGACTCCCCAGAAAACATGTGAAAATATGGGAAGTGTTGGGGAAGACAAAAACCCAGAAAACATGGGAAACTATGGGGAATCTTTTTATTTGTGTGTATTTGGTTGTGTGTCCCAGGGCCCCTTCATTGATGCACGTTCTGGTTCGAGCCGATGTCCCGATTCGATGCTGGTTGCTCCTGTCAGGGGCGGCCTAACCGACCCCCAGCAAGCCATCCCCTTCGGGGACGTCCCCCTCGCATCGCCCCAAGACGTATGTGTGCGGCCAGGGGGAGGCTTGAGGTGCGAGGATGACGTCAGGACGCCGTCACGGAAGGGGACGGTTTGCGGAGGGCCGGTTTGGCCGCGTCGCTCGATACGGCCTCCCGAGTCGCTGGAGCTCAGAGATCCTTGACTTGTTCTCGCCCGATGCTGTCCTTGTCTGGGCCTCGTCTTAACACTCCGATCCGGTCCGATTTCCCGACTCGACGCTGGCTGCTCCTGGCTCTCACCACCCACCAAACCACTCCAACCCAACCCGAAGGCCTCAGTTTGCCCTCCATTTCCAGTGGGGGGGGTGTTTGGGAACATTGAAAAACACATATGGAACCCGTACCCCCCCCAACCCGAGATTCGAGTCTTCGGGTTGGGTTGGGGTTGTCTGGTAGGTAGTCAGGCCCTGCATGCAGGAGCCCACGATGCCGCGCGCGCCCGCGCGCCTGCGCGCGTGCGAGCACCTGGAGAGGCAGCCCGCCGCCAGGCGTGGAGTGCTCTCGAAGCGTGCAGGATGCCAGACTCGCCCAGAGACCTCGATCCTCGATGCTTTTCCCCCGCTCCTCCTCCTCCTCCTCCTCCTCCTCCTCCTCCTCCTCCTCCTGCTCCTGCTCCTCCTGCTCCTGCTCCCCCTGCTCCTGCTCCTCCTGCTGGTCCTCCTCCTCCTCCTCCTCCTCCTCCTCCTGCGAGAAGCGATCCTCGAGCCTCCCCTCCTCCCCCGCTCGCCTCGATCCTCGATCCTCGAGGCCACGATGCCGCGCGCGTCCGCGTGCCTGCGCGCGTCCGAGCAGGGAGAGGCAGCCCGCCGCCGGAGGCGTCGGCTGCCCTCCAAGCGCTCAAAGGGACATGGCGCGGGCGAGAGAGGGGCCTGCGCGCACACGCGGGGCTCGTTTCGATTCCTCCGATTCGATTCGATTCGATTTCGATGGCTTCCGATTTCGATTCGCTTCGACTTCGGATTCTGATTAGGGATCCGATCCGATTTCTCTATGGAGGCCTACAAGCCTGCCGATGTCTGCCGATTCGACTTTTCCCGATTCGGTTGCCGATGTCCTTCGATCCGATTCATGTCCATCGCCGATCCGACTTGTCGATTCGATTATTCTGCAGACCTGGGTCTTGCAACTGACAGCAGCCCGCTGCACGCGATCGGGCCTTTCCTCATCGAGGATATTGTCGGACCGAGGCATAAGGTCGAGGTCGGCTCGGGGTACCCCAGTGTTCTTCGTGTTTGTTGGATGCTCTTGTGCATCCTGGAGAGGGTACCCTTGGATGCTCCTTAATTGTTTTGGACTTGTTCCTAGGTTGTCCTTCGTTTTCTGTGGGAGCTCGAAGCTAAACTTATGGAAGAAAGGAGCCTCACTCCTCATTTTGGGTTCGTTATGGCAGCGTTTTGACTGTACTGGACAGGTGACGGGCGGGAGAGGCATGCGCGCACACTTGGGACTTACAGCGGACAGCAGCCCGCTGCACGAGATCGGGCCTTTGCCCATCGAGGATAAGAGAACCCCCAACCCTGATAACACAATGAAGACGTGGTCTCACTGAGGCCCCCGTCCGTGCATCAGAAATGATAGATCTGTGCGGCTTGGTCCGATACATCTGCAGAATGGAGCCCCTGCCCCCAATGTTTTCGGCCCTCCCGACTCAGGCCCCCTCCCAAAGGGCCTGGGTACCTGTAAGGGACCGTATTTTGGTCAATCAATTTTCCGCACTGACGCGGAGGAGGAGGAGGAGCAGCAGGGGGAGGAGGGAGGAGGAGGAGGAGGCGGAG